AGTGAGAGAACCATTAAGTTACCGTGATCATAACGTGTTATGCTGTGATGTCTGAAACAAAATTGATATGATTTAATGAAAACAGTTTTATTTAGAAATGAGAGAGTTGAATGCAAGTAGAATGGAACAAAAGGAACAGTAAAGGATGAAGTAGGATGTTAAGAGATCAGAGAAGTTTAGATTAAAGGAAAGTCAATGTGAGGAAAAATTTCCAATTTTCCTCTAACTCGTTCCTGTTTTCAGCAATTCCTTTGAAACAGGCTTCATTATTGTGCCCTAACCATTCCTACTATTAAAAGAAAGAGGTAAAGAAATTCCTCAAAAGTATAAAATCTGTTTTGGTAACATCCTCAGTGTGGGTTGAATTTGTCTGATGGTTTTAGACGAAGATGAAAGAGCACCTGTTCAAAGCTTAATGCTTTATAAATGTGACGGTCTTCATTCTCGAGCTGCAGTACACTTCAGGCATAGTCAGGAGATCTGATCAGCACCATGTCCAGAACTATCGGCAGCATTCTTCTGCTTAAAGGTTGTTTTGCCACTTATTCTGATTGCTTTTCTGTAATGCTACACAAATTTAGCTGTATAGCCTTATTTTGGATGGACTGAGCATAACGTGTTAAACCTACATAATTTGACCTCCATTTGTAAATTGGGTATGTAAGACACGTGACTTGAGTTCTGTTTCTACTCTTATAAGTAGATGTACTGTATAAGTATTGCTTCTGTCCCTGTCCTCTGTACCCTGTTTGGCATGTAGCATTTCCTTGTCTGTTGGGCTTGGTCCTTATAGCCACATGATAATTGACTGCTGTCTCCAAAGGGTCAGGGGTTTTATGAAAGGAAATTGATGCTTGTGTCTTGTCAGCACTATCTGCAAGGTCAGCATCAATACAGAAAAACACACAAATTGCACTGCATATCCATCAGAGCTGCACTGTATTTCCAATTCATTCAGAAAGCAGAAGATGCGTATGTGACTGATAAGATGCGATTCTTGGGAAGACATGGTTTTGCACTGAATACATCTGCTTTTGCATGCATTACTTTGTGCCAGATGTATACAGTACAGAATTTAGCTTGATGCCATGTTAGTTAACCTTAAAATCCATTGGCTTTTATGTGCAAATGCTACAATATGTTTTCAATTATTTTTGGGGGGGTTCTTATTTTCATCTTTATATTGGACTCTCTGAAAGATAACCAACATTAAAATCTTTGGGCCCGCAGGGAAGCCATTAGGATTTTGTTGAATTAAAAGAGTGTTTTAATTCTGTCCAGGCGAGAGATAAAGGTTATGAATTATAGCCTTTGAATTTCTGCGAGGCACCACACGTCCTCAAGCAGATCTGGTCACTAATGCATCATTACAACTTTCTTGTATTGATGAAAAATGCATTATCATCCATCAACTTAAATATCATACTTAAAATCTCCCTTGGGCAAAGTTGAATACAGATATTTATTCCTCTTTATTGTGTATGATTTTGATTTGTAGCCCCTGAAGTTACATTTTATGAAGTGAACAAACTGCTACAGTTATGTAACCACTTATAATTACAGTAGCTGAACAAACTGCTTTCAGAATTCCCTTACAAAGGTAACGCCAGCTGCTAAAAAGTGGGACTTGGGTGAAAATACACAATATGAAGTCTGTTCAATTTTTTTTTATGGCAGGAAAACTTGCTTGTTTAAATCCACAGCAATTGATTTCATTTTTCTGTCCGTCCAAGTTTAAATTCTCAGAACAAGCATTTTGGAATCGAGGCATGTTTTTCCTCTTTCCACAAACTGTAAATATTCTGGTGGGACAATTGCAAATGATAGCTCTTTTTCCCCTTATCTTCCATTAAATTAGAATATGTAGTGTATTGCTCCGTGGGGCTGCGACTGTGGTTTTCCTATCATCTTGGAGCAGGGGGTCTTTGGAAGCCCCTGCTTATCAAAACCCATCCATCCTGAAAAACAAACTGCACCTGTCAGCACTGTGCTCTGCACTTCCCCTCCCTGCTGTCCTCTCTTCCCCTTGCCAATCCCAGGCTTCCTTTTAGGAGCACGATGGGTGGATGGATCTGCCGGAGTCTCGCCAGCTCCTCCAGTGGTTTGTGTGCCAGAAGCCTTGAGTGTGCCGTTATGGGTCTCGTTTTTCGAAATGCAGAAGCCAAACTGATGCTGGGAAGTGTGGTAAAGGAAACTCTCCAGTCACCGGTTAGCGGGCGTTTGTGTGGGAAGAACAGCTTGGTGGTGGGGGGACTCCAGTCACGCCAATCGCCTCTTAACGTATCTGCTGTTTCTTTACCTAATGAATTATGAATGATTGTAGTCAGCTTTGTGGTAAGTACCAAAATACAAAAATACGACCTGTTTAATAATTCATTTGTTGAAAGTCTTTGTCTCATTTACAGTAGATACAAGACGCTTTACTGATGTATGTAAGAAAATGGCACAGTACGTATTACATTGTGGATTAGCATGAGCAATTCACACTATTATTACGTTTCGCTCATTAACAGTAATAAAGCAGAATCGGGGCATATGCTCTAAAACTACAGTTCGCAATGTTGTTTATTTGAGCAGCAGATGCCTTGATTCTGGACGAGTTGCTAGACCAGTTGGATAAAACCTGCCCTGCTGGGACCGAAGAAGTCCCAGCAGTGCAGGTGACCCTCAGAGTGAAGGAGTAGGGCAGTAGTGCAGCATGGAAGATAAGTAATCCATATACTGTACAGTGCCTATCAAAAGTATTCACCCCCCTTGGACTTCTTTCCATCGTATTGTATTACAATATGGAATCATAATGTATTTCACTGAGTTTTTGCTATTGATTGACAGAAAACACTATTTTACAAATTTTACAGATCCTCAGTCTTCATGATTTTATTGGGAGCTGTATAGTGAACTGTGGGACCTCCTAGAGATAGGTGTATATTAATCTTGAACCCATGTAAAACACCCTAATTACACACAGGAGGACACCTTTCAACTAATTATGTGACTTCTAAAGACATTTGGTTGCACCAGAGCCCATTTATGTGCGTCGTAGTAAATAGAGTGAATACTTATGAAATCACTTATTTTCCGTTTCAGATTTATAATGAATTTAGGGCGATCTGTAGAATTTTGTTTTCACTTTGACATTATAGGGTGTTTTGGATCAATAGATGCCAAAACGTCCCGTATAAATACCCTGTGATTCTGTACTGTAACAATGTAAAATGTGAAACAATCCGCGAATACGTTTGGTAGCCTCTGTAAGTGGTCTGTATGGCGGTCAGAACAGGATTCCGGAGCCCACACCAGTGTCAAGTGTTCTAACGCTGCGTTTTTCTCAGGAGGAGAAAAAATAAAGTGCAGTTGACTTGTAGCCCTGTCTTCCCGATTATTAGAACACCGCTTCTCAGTTCCTTGCTTGCAGGCTTTCCATGGAGTTCTGTTTTATAGTGTTTATTTATACTTTTAGCAGTGTTCTTACAGTGAAACTGTGAAGGCCATACCTGACAGGATATTGTGCTGTGGAAAGACTCGTGAAGGTAGTCTTAGTGTAGAAGAAACCAGAGTGCAAGTATTGAATCACTATAAAAGATGAGTCTTGCTGAGTGAGAAATACCAGACACTCCTCTCACAGCCCTTATCTCGAGGAATATGGTTGATAGTGTAACCCATGTGGTTTCAATCAAGTACTGATGTTTTTTTTGCCTGTGAAACTGGTTAAGACCGTGCAGAGGGTTTCTTCACCAAATGTTGTGACATTAACGGATGATATCTTGCTCTGTGTTGAAGTTACAATTTCGCAAGAAAGGCCAGACAAATCTGGTAAGCCTATTGTATTGTGCAGAGCTGTATTTCTCATAAGATAATCCACTGTATTTAATGGAAGTCTACTTCATATAAAAAATACACACACACACACACAAACACACAGGTTCATCTTCGTGTAAACTCTTTGCTGCTTCTTAATGAGATTGCAGATTGCATCCACTTTCACTGATGAATGTCATTATGAAAACAAGTTCGCACCTGTTACAAATAATGTGCAGATTTGTTTTTGGAGAATTGGTGGAATGGGATTGGTAGTTTGATACAACAAAATTTGAAATGCATTTTATTCTTGTCTCTTCATTGATATAAATAATGCTTGATTTTTGTTAGTACATAAACTGCCTAGCAATTAGTAGATATTAATTGACTTCAAACTGTTTCTTGTGATTTACCCTGTGTTTGTTTAAAAATAAATACAAATGTTTTGTGAAATATGATGCATAAGATGTGTTATAAGCAGGGACTGGCGTTTTCCATAAACGTATTGCACAGTGTTGCTGTGATAATAAACAAAAACTGTTACTTTGATGTTCGATCACAGAAGGCATCAGCAGCTTTGATTAGGAAGTGCTCCGCAACAACAGATAATCATTTTTTTTTCACAGTGAAATTCATTTAGATAAGCAAGCTCAGGTCAAAGGACATCAAGTAGGTCTTTTAAAAATACAGCACAATGTATTTTTTCATAGTTTTTTCTAAGAATAAGTTTCTGCGTTATCTAGGGCTTCCTTCCTGGAGTTTCAAAATGAAGTTCTCTACAGCGAGGCTTTGCTCATTACTGTGATGACCGAGTGCCTTTTGGTTTAAGGAGCACTTTGCACGTGAGCAGCTTGCATTGTTTAGGCTACAGCCCTTTCTCTTCACCTCCCATGTTTTCAGCATGTCAGCACAGGAGAGTGGGGGAGATCTATTAATCTGATGTCTTTGGTATCTCAATAACAGCTCACCATACTGAGGCGGATCTGGAAGATTAGGGTTTAAGGCAGGCAGCTCAAAGGCTTCGGAAAAAATAAAGTGATGTCAATGCTGTGCCTTGGCAGCCCTGGGGAAGGGACTTGAAGACGCTTATTCGTACGAGAACAGGAAGACTCCAAGGCACTTGGTTTCCGTGCAGTAGGGTTTCTCCTTTTTCCACCCAATATATTCAGTTACACGTTCCTTTCTCTTTTGGTTTCCTACAGCGCTGAGACCCTGGATGTCTAATTTCAGTTACCCTGGGGTTCAGGATTACTCACAGCTGGCACTGGACATCACCAGGAGCCAACTGATAGTTGGAGCCAGGTATTTAAGCCGCAATGCCGTAATCTAACGAGGGGCTTTCATTAATTAGGAATAAGAAACCTAATGACTAGCACCATGTGAACTTGAAGGTGGGGTGGTGAAATGCCGTGCCAATACCGGGCGCAGGACCCCTCTCTCTCCAGAGCTATCCAAGTGTCCGCCTGCAAAAGTCAGGCTTTAGAGAGATTTGTTTTCATTATTATTGTTTTTCAGTTCTTCTGCTGTTGCCTGATAATTATTTTTTGTCAGCTGCTAGACAAAAACAATTGCACTATTAGGATTTGGATGTGTGTGTGTGTGTATGTTTAGAAATGAAAGAAACAAGCAGTCCTGTGGTTGCACCAGTTATCCCTTAGCCACAAAGATGTTTATGAGGCAAGGTTAAAAATGTCACATGGGCACACGGCGGCTCTTTGGGCCAGAGCTCAGTCTGATTACCGTTGCAGGGGTGGACTGAAAGCATACGATTCCTCTACCCCCCCCTCCCCAATGGTTAGCCGGGTGCACTGGGGCAGCTGTGGTAAAGTCCAAGAGCAGCGTGTGCAGCAGGGACTTGAACCTGTCGGGGCTCCTCTGTTGTCCTCCGTTTCTAAACTGCCCCCTTTCTTCCATGATGATCTCTGGTGCTCCAGTCGAGAGTTCAGTGTACTTTACCATACAGCTAACGTGCCGAATGATTTATTGACCTGAATGCTGCAGTCATTCAAAACTGTTGCCAAGGGTTTGATCAAAGATGTAAATGATTGAAGAGGGCTTTACTTTGTAGGAAGAAAGCATGGGATTCATGATGCACACAGCTGCCGTCATGCTGAACTCTACAAGAGTTTTGCCACTACAGTGTTTGCAGTCAGTTTCCTTGATATCCGGGGCAGAGTATTGACTTGACAGACTCCCCTGAGCTAAAACTAAGTTTCTTGAAAGACCAAGTATCCCAAGTTAATTTGCACACATTTGAGAATTTCTTTGTGATGCTTTTAAGTCAGTGGCTTTACAGGCGTTTGTTTACATTCAGCAGATGTGCATCACAGACATGGGCTGTAGTTTTGTGGAATGTGATTGAATACACGAGGAACATGCTTTCAAAGAGGTTATGAATCTCCAGCGTTGAAGGATAATCTCCATACTGATGTGATGGTTCTTATTCACATGATTAAAATATCCTAACTGTATAGTGCTCGGATGAATAACAGCATTGCCTAGTAATTCATCTTATCTTGTGCGTGCATTTCTGTAAGCTTCCAGTATTGTGTTTAGGCATTACTTTGCTGTGTGAGTGTGATTGTGATTGTTGTGAAATTAAAGTATCACTTCTGTTGTATCTAATGTTTTTTTTCCCCTTTTCTGCAGAAACTACCTCTTCAGATTAAGTCTCAACAATGTGTCCCTTATACAGGTAGGTACAACTGCACCTTGGTTTTGATCAGCACAAAGTCCGGCCTTTATGGAGTTGAGCGCAGGGTGGGATGTCCAGCTCTGGTCTTGGGGGGGCTGGGGTGTCTACAGGTTTTCGTTTAGTTTCACCTCGGCTCTTGAACCAGCTGGTTGCTGGCTCGACGGGGCCAGTTTTGCAGTTTTATCCCAGCAGGCGTGGCTGGTCTCGAAAGAGAAGACAACAACCCTCCAGTCGGCCAGGCCCTCCAGGAGCAGGACTGGACACCCCTGCTCTAGCCTCATTCAGACACTGTCTCTTTCGCTAACTCAGGGTTTTCCTGCTGGAAGTGCCCAGCTTCTCTCCAGCGGGATTGGTGAGGCTGAGTGGAATGTTCAGGTCTCCATGGCAATCTTATTTTTCAATGCAGTTGCAGCCCTAGGGGGTCAGTGACAGTCTTTTAACTTCAGGACTGTCTGGCGGTGGCAACCGGTTGTTGGGTTAAAACTTTACCTAGTTTCTGTTACACCCTAACATAAGGGGAAGCCATTAAAATGACTTTCTTATTAATTAAAGGGATATACACACAAATAGAATTTGCTCCAGGTTTATAAAGTCTTGTATATAAAATGGGAGCAGTCTTCATTCAGAATTTAACATAACAAATGCCAACTGAGGCTTGCTCGGAGTGATAATGGGTCTATTAAATAATTAGGAATGATTATGGATAATTCTTCTTGTGATTGAAATGCAAGATGCACATCGTTTTAAGTGTTTTTATTTAGCACAGTGTCAAAAGTAATTATTATAAGGTTCATCAAATCTTAAACCATGAATGTATAAGGAATGGATTTTCTGATGTCACTTAATAAAAAAAATCATAATTGCTTTGTTTTGTAATCAGCAGTGACTTTTAAATATTGGGCTGTGATTATGTAGATTTTCATCATGACCGACTACTCAATTTGAAATTGGCTCAGTGCAAGGAGCTTTTCCAGAGCCAAAGTCACAGTTGTTTTTTTTTCCAATGAGGGAAGAATTTCCACAGCTCTCGTGCAGCATATTCTGGGGTGGAAATAAATGTGATGGATCTATTGTCGTTTGGGCTAACTGGAGCATCAACAGCTGTACCGGGGACAGAATCAATGATCATGAAGCATGTCATTTGGTGAGGGAATAGTATTTGTGCCTGACAGCGTGCTTAAAAAGCTAAATGAGGAGTGCCAGGGACAGGGCTGATTGAGTGAGTGTACTTGGGTGGATCTGGTTGGTGAGAATTAAGGTGATTTTACCCCTTTAGCCAGAACAGCCAAAAAGATATGGTTGGTCCTGCTTTTGTTGGGAAGATTTATTGATTTTCAATAATAGTTTCTTCCGATCTTTCTTTTGTCTTTTCCTTTTCCGAAGTGCTGCACTGAAATATTGACGTTGGTAAAATCGCAAGGAATGCTGAAATTTCATTCTGAGGATTTTTGCTTAGGGAGGATCCGGCCCATTTGTGGTAACTGCTTTTCAAATTTAGGTGCCAATACACCCTCCAGTTCACACTTTACTGTACACACATCTATTGAGCTTGCGGTGTGTTACCATTCAGAGTTGCAACTGTGCCAGTGTGCTGTTGAGTCGTGGACAGCCATTAACAGTAGACGCGTTTTCTGTTATCTAGGCTGGTATTGACCTTATCGCACGCTCCATGCAGTCACTGCTTACTGTTTCAGTAAGTTGGGAAGAAGTGACAAAACACTGGCTTGAGGGGTTTTTTTGCAATTAAGATTTAACAGCGAGAGAATACAGGCAGAAAAATAACAGCCTTAAAAGAAATCCTGCTTTACTATCAACTTAAGCTTTTTTAAAATGTCATTTGTGTGGGTTTGGTAAGCAAGGAGGAAGAGGTAGGAGGGGGGCCTTCAGTGAGGTGAATGTTCTGAGGTAGATTTTGGCTGATGGGCGATTTGTCCGCATACGAGCCGTGACTTGGGTTTCATCTGCGATTTCCACTCGTGAGCTTGCACCAGTGCACTGCGTCTTGGGGGACCAATGCAGATGCTATGAGGGCGCCTTGCTAATATCTGAAGCTGTGGAGGGAGGCATCCACTTCTGCTAAACTCAGCAAGTTCAATATCAAAGCTCTGCTATTGTTGTCTTTTTTTAAGCATTACTAATCTCAAGCTCTGTACACGATGAAGGGCCAAGCTGTAGTGCTTCCGTACTAAAGACTTCTTCTTTTAATGGGGCAATTTGCAGTTTTCTGTTGGAAACTTTACCACCTATGCAAAACCCCATTTTTTCCCGGAAAGGAACAGATGAGTCGGCTTGTTGGGGCTGTGAAGTGTGACTCATTGTTTTTATGGGTTGATTATAGAGCCTGCTGTTTTCAGTGGGAACCACAGCCACAGAGCAGGCAATTAAGCTTAATTATTCAAATTGAACTTGGCTACATGGCACCTGTAAATTCAGTGCACATGCTGTTCGGAAAATCGGCGAAGGAAGTCGTCTTTTCCTTTACGAGAACCTCTGCTGCTCATCTTTGGCCAACTGGTTTTAGAAGAAGTCCCGTTTCAACCCAGTCAGAGGTGTTGAAGTGATAGGAATGCATCACCGGTCGGATTGTGAAATCCCCTTAGAGCCTTTATGCAGTGATTATCTATGTGTGGACTTTTTTGTTGTTTGTTGTGTTTCTTATCAAATAATTGTATTTTTTTATATGGCTCTACATACCTGCTGGCATAGTTTAAATAGTTTTATATAATCAATGTAACAAAAATGTAAGAGGAAGGCAAATGTTTATTCTGCTCTTTTGGTTATGTTCTGTTTGTAAACCCTTTCATCGCTAGATAAGAAGTTTTAAATAAAAAACAAATCTCCTTTACAGGCTTAGTTAACTTCTGTGTAGTTAATTTTATTTCCTGGAGTTATCTGTATTATGTTAATGCACATAGATCTTTTAATATGAGAGTATTTGAATTCAGTTAGAGCACTATGTAATAAGTAGATAAACTGGTATCCTCTGAGGTAACTGTTGCAACCCATAAGGAAACCTTTTGAAATTGCAGTACTGGTATGCGTTTCAGGGGAGAGGGAGATAATACTGTTTACACCAATAATGATTTCAAATTGTTGCACTTGACGGGATATTGAGAAGCATTTTCAATCACATCATGAAGTGCGTAATCTCTTCAGCTTTTGTCTAATAGACGTGATTGTAGCTTGCTTTTAGGATCCTCAGTGGGGCCCATGTTATTTATACCTCTGTTTACAAAGTGGAGAGCAAGGGAGACTGGCTGGCTGGCTCTGCTCGGTCTGGAGCTGGTCCCTGCTCCCAGGAGCCAGGCTGTAGCAGAGGGAGGGCAGCGGGTGTGAGTGGGGGGTTGGGGGGGTTTGTGAGGAGGAGGGGGGAGTGTTTTGTCAGTTGAGTGCTCGCCTCCAAGATAAGGCCTCAGCTCTCAAACCCTGGAATGCGAACAGCAAGGGTTTGCTTGATGAGATTGGCGTTTGCCAAGAAGCATTTCATGCAAGAGGGGCAACTGCAGAAGCAGAAACTTTTCTTCTTGGAAACAAAACGTTTGACGCGATTCTGCAACCCACCCACAACGTCATGCCTGGGTGTACAATGTAGTGCCCCCTGCAAGCTCCTGATCCCTGGGTTTGCTCTAGAGCCATACCGGGTGCCCTGTCTAGAACAGTCTTTCGGAAAGCTGAGTAGCACTTTTTGCGAATCTGTCCCAAAGACACTAGAAATGGGAAGGAAAAAAACTATTTTTAATTTAAAAAAAAATCCATATTGAATCTTGACTGCAATGTGATATTGTCCACAGGGCAGAATGGGGAAACCAGGCTAGAAAACATGTTCATTTTATTGGTGTTTCACTGTTAAACATGTACTGTACAGCATGTTTGGGGGAACAGTACTGAAAAGACAGATTGACCTTTTCTTAGAGACGCCTCTGAATATGGTGCTCTGGTTGTTCATATGGAAGCAAAGGTCTTTGGATAGCTCTGCAGTTGGGTAGCTTTAAAAGCATGCCATGCTTTTAAAATTCCTAGCTTCTAATTTTTTCAACGACAACTCAGAATTGCAGGAATTTACGGCACAGTGCTGTGAACTGTAAATTAAATCAACGTGGGAGGTATTTACTGTAGTACTTACAGTTTAAGTGGGTAAAAGAAGTTTGTCAGCATCCTGCTTTTTAGCTTCTGACATTTGCTGATTAAGTAACAGACTATTTATTCCGACCTGGGGTTTTGAAAACTGTTCATTGCAGAATAGACTACCCAGAGACAGCAATGTTTTCTCACAACACAGGGAGAGACAACTCTGATCATTTCTGCCTGTCTCTCATATGTCTAATTCATTCAGTGAGTTTATTCTCCAGAGCTTAGCTACACATTTGTGTATGAAATTTGAGAAGAACTTGCAATAATTACTGAAAATAATTCTCTCATCCAAGACTTGCAATAGGAAAAAAAAACAACATTTAAGATTTAAATCTGTAATCAGCAGAGTTTGAAGTTTATTTTTTTCCGTTTTTGTCTTTCATGTACTAGTCCACTTTCATCTCTGCCTAGGTAACTCAGAGTGACAATTATTTTTTTAAACCACAGCAAGCTTGTATTTTGTTTGATCTCTTAACCTGTGCTTTGATTTGTATTTTTCGTTTTGGTGCAGAACAGAATGACATTTCTTTTCATCCGTTCATTCCGATAGATGTGTACGTAAGCACCATTCTTTCAAAGTCATTCCCAGTTTTTGTAGAAATACTTGACCATTCTTTTCAAAATGTGTCAATTTTAGTGTCATTATCCCAACTATCAAATGGTAGTTTTCTGTGCCTGGGAGGCAAGACTATCACGAAGATTACCTTTTTTTCAGAGACACTTTCAATTATTGCCCAGCGAACTGTAATCATGTCAAAGAGAAAGAGGTTTCTACACTTTCCTTTCAATCAGTCTGAAATAATTGTTCATATTTAAACCACTGATGGTTCAAACTATGACATTGTTCACAATAATAGGTTGAATGTTTTTTTTTTAAACTCCAGGACACATGCAAACAGCATTTCATAATCTTAGAGCTGTTAGCAGCAATAAAGTTGAAAACAAATGTTTTTAGACCTTTGATTGCAAGATGTCTTTCAAAGCCAGTTTATTGTTGAGTTTAGCCTACGGATGGCTGCTGTGTTGAGCTGGAGATGAGAGTTGGGTATTTCAGTGGGATCTCTGCTTACTCTCTTCCACGGCTTCTAACAAGGGCTGAACTGCAAGGAGCTTTATCCAGGTTTCATCAACTTTCAGGGAAATCCCCAGGTGTTGAGGCCATGCAGGTACCAGCAGGCTTTGGATTTAAATCAGCCGGAAAAAAATCCAGCTCTTCTAACTTATATAGGGGGGGGGGACCTTGCGTGCAACTTTGAGACAACAAATCGTCAGATGTCAGGATTTGTTCTTATTTATTAGGAAAACTGAGCTGGTCTCCTCAACCTAAAAAGTACATTATTTCTACATGGAAACTGAGAAATGTGTGTGTGTATATATATATAATTTTACATGTTTAGTTGTATTTTGACCCAAGTGTTTTTGATGGGTAATGAAAAGGTAACAGATGTCTTAGAAATTGGGGATTATTTGATGTCATCTCTGCAGCAGCATCCAGCCTCTCGTGTTTCCAGGGCGGTGCTGTTGTTGGTTAAATTGGCTGCGCTGGCTCCTCAGCATAAATAAAGGGGAACAGTATTGAGAACACGTCTGCCACCAGCGAGCTGCTTCCCGAAGACGGCCTTTAAAGCCGAAAGGCAGAGGGGCAGGTTTTGGGGTCAGGAGGGTCTGTAATTAAACTGGACTGCTTTAGGCCTTTTGCGTGAACGTGCAGAGCTCATAGTATTTACTGATCCCCCCCTTTTCTTAGTTTTATCTTTTCAAAAGCAGTACAATATTGCATCTGGCTTCAAAGGCTCCAACACAAAGATTCCCGGGATCCCTTTCCAAGGGATCTGTCCACTTGTTCTTAACTTTCAATAAGACGTCTTGAGGTCATTGCAATTGCAGCCTTGGCTCCCGCGGAGGGTACGCAGAAAGCCTGCACACTCCCATTCTTTTTTGGGGGGCATCTCTTGCCACCCCATTTACTCATTTGTATAGTCTTCAGCCGTGAAGAGAGAGCCGGGTTTTAACAATCTGAAGGTAAACGGCGGCAGTGCGGTGGCTCTGTGGCTCAGGATCTGCGCCTGTGGCTGGAAGGTTGCCGGTTCAAATCCCGCAGCCGGCGGAGGAATCCTACCCCGTTGGGCCCCTGAGCGAGGCCCTTAACACCAACTGCTCCTGGGGTGCCGTATAAATGGCTGACCCTGAATTCTGACCCCCAGCTCCTCTCCCTGTCTGTGTGTCGTGGAGAGCAAGTTGGAGTATATGTGTATGGTCAATAAAGAGATCTTATCTTAAATTACTTAAGTGCAGAAATCTGAACTGATAATCCAGCTTGATCACTTCATAATGTCCTTAATAAGGATTTGAAAACTTCTGCTTTCACAACACGACCTGTAATATCGGACATAGCTCTGATGGCTGTTCTCTCTCTCTGTGGTATTCAGACTTCCTGACTGAAAGCATTCACCTAAGGGAGGCTCATTTACGGCAGTTTAATGTGGCGTCGTTGATCATTACATCAGCAAAGTACCTGCTGCTGCCTCCTGACGCCGGGCCCCCCTCGCCCTCTTCTTCCCGCTCCTCCAGAGGGGCACTGGGGGACAGCCGCAGCACTGGGAGGAGTGCCCTGCCCCCCGGAAAAGAAGGGAACAATCGGGGGGCCCGGCGGCCGTTAGGTTCCGCAGCGGTGTGTGTGTGTGTGTGTGTGGGGGGGGGGGGGGGGGCTGTAAACCCACGGCAAATGGATTCTATTTTAAAAATCGGTCAGTCCATTGCCGGGCGAACAAACAAAAAAAAAAAAACAGAAAAGGATTTTGAGCCCCCCTTATGTAGGGATCAGTGTTCCAGGACAATGAGAAGGGCCATTGAGAATCCTGTCACATCTATCAGGAGAGACCTGAATGGAGAGAAGTGCCGCTGTGAATAGGGGACTTGGTTCAAGGACGGAACGGGGAGGGGCCAGGCGGCCTATTGAAGTGTGGGGACCTTGAATGGGGCCACAGGGACAAATTGTTTCTCGCTTGCTGGGGGGCGGACCTATTGCACCCCAATCAGCTGTTGCGTTGAGGGGCACAATGATATTATGCAAATGTAGCTCTGAGATCATTAAAAAAAAAATTGGTAGGGAATTGGCATTGTTGGAGGCAGTCGGGCAGAGGGAGAGGGGCAAGAGAAAGCAATCCACCGGCGCAAGGTAGCCGTGGAAAAGCTTGTGGGCTCTTCAGCAGCTCCCGTCTTGGGGAACTGTCGAAGACATGCAGGCGCTGTTCCGAAATGTCTTTGTTCGCTAGAGAAACAGCTCTTTATTAAATGAGGGTTACAGTAATCAAAGGTGCTGTGTTCCCTTTTCTTTGTATTGATCATAAACATTTTCCTTAATTTGCTGTTTTTTTTTCTTCCAATTTGTTAATGACGTAGTAACTCCTCCCCCTTTGAGCATAAAGATTCCATTGTTGTGCCTCAGGAGATCCAGAGTTGGTCTTTCAAGGTTTTATTTCATGCAGCGTTTTAGATTTTAAAGCACTCGGAGCTAATTGTTCTCACGACTAATTATTTGTATACAGTACATCTGGCTGGCAGTGGGAAGATGTGCTGTTGATGTGTTATGTGTTGTGTGGCTTTGAGGTCAAGTAAAGTTGATTTCAATTCAGAATTGTGGTAGATGGCAGCTTCGCATCAGGATCAAACTGGCCTGGTTCTATAAACTGCAGTAATTTCTGCTCTTACAAAGTGATTTTCTTTGTAGAAAAGCAGGTGATTCACAGTATATTTAAAATGTTTTCTGGGAGCTACCTTCTCTCTGTAAAAGGGCAGATTTCTACAGACCCTGTTAATTTCCACAGTCAAAGTGCAGCAGACTGGAAGCATCATAGAGTCAACAAAAACCTTTTCGAATGCATGCATTAAAATGGTCACAATCTGAATATGTTTTAAACTGGCAATTTCAGCTTGACGATTGTCAGATAGTGGAACAGAGGGAAGCATGTTAAGATTTAAAAGTCTTTTTTAACTGTAATCGGGGAAACTTCACAGAGAAAAGAACAAGTTGCCCTGATTTTATTATCGTTGTCAATGAGAATTTACTAGCCTGTGTTCCAAGCTTTTAACCAGTGTAAGCTATTCCCACGACAGACTGTAAAATTAATTCAATAAAACTGCAGTTTAAGTTGCAGCTATATATTGTTTGGCCTTTATTCCATGTCATGTGGTTTTGTCCTCAAGCTTAACCTCACCAGCCGAAAGTGTACAGTTCCCGTCTTTGAGCAGAGCCGAGATCAGTTCTCTGAAACGCACAGAGGAGGGACGTGCTTCCCTTTGTCCAGCTGGATGCGAGGGGGACAGATTGCTCCGGGGATTAGCTCAGGTTGAGCCTCCCGCCCGAGGGGCCCGAGGGCCAGCGGAGTGCTGGTTCACAGAGCCATTTCAGGCCTGCGTGTGGGCCAGACGACGAGACCCAGAACGGCTCCGGGGCTCAAGAAGTGACCCGATTTGAAATGCGCTCGCCCTGCTCAAGTCACACAGTGGCGCTGAATTTGTGTTTTTTTTTTCGTAAACCTCCTTAAAGCCGTATAAATGACAGTCTTTTAAGAGTTCAGTTCTGCTGTTCAAAAAAAAATGGAAAACTTCTATATCATTTCAGTTGCTTAGCCAGAAGGAAGCCTTGCATTGAATTGGATTTTTTCAGCTGTTAAAATAGAGGCTTATTCATTTGGATCCAGATTAAGCCTCTTCTATGCACTAATTAAATCCAATATAAATATGGCTCTGGCTTTCGCTTTAATTGCTCAGCTTGTTTTCCTCAGTGTTTATCTTGCGTTGAATAAGGCTAATTGAATAGGGTCCCTCACCCAGAGAGCCCTCAGGGAGTGCAGCGTTCTATGGAGGTCGCCAAGCCCGACTTTCAAATGGGCACAAAACAATCTATAGATTGTTTACTAATCAGTGGGCCTCTTTTTCTCCTGTCATATTCTTTAATTCACATCCAGTTCCACTTAAAAAAAAAAAAAAAAAACCCCGATTGAACCACTCTAGCTCCAGCGAGTGTGGAGTCTGGCACGTCTCCACTTGGATGGCGTGAGGGAGTCGCGCTCTCTGGTGAGCGTTAAGCCAGTAAGTCAGGCTCCTGCAGCCGGGCCAAGGAAGAGGCGCGGCGCGAGTGGGGGTGGGGGTGGGGCGGAAAAAAAAAGAAAAAGAAAACGCCCCCCCCTTCTCTGCCAGTCTCGGCCGCCGTTCCTGCTGGGATAGGTTGCACGGACTTGATCTATTTCAGTTGGGGAAAGTGCAAACATACGGGAGCTGTTATAAAAAAAAAAAAGGAACTCGTCAGTGGAAACGTTCGCCTCAGTACATAGCAATAAGGTATTAGCAACTGGTTGCTGCTTCCATAATTAAACACAGGAGATGGGTACTTGAAAGGAATATGTGTGGGGGGGAGGGGTTTTGGGGTGTTGTTGCATTTCTCCTCTTGAATGAGGGAACATTGCATTTACATGCAAATTGAAGCCGTCTCTCTGACGGTCTACTTACCTCACTCCTCAAGCTACTGTCCTATTTATCTCCTTGTTAGTATGAGAAACACAAATCAATAAGTGTAGGGCTATGTCTTCCATGTGCCCCCTGGTTCTGATGTGTGCAGCTCAGTGTTTTAACTGTGCCATAGTCTTCTCGGTCGTATTCATTGCTGTCATTTACCGCTACCAAGTAAGAGGCAGTATGACTCGGAGTGCATCACGTTTCTCGGTTTATTTCCGTTTCCTAGGCAACGGAATGGGGCCCAGACGAAGACACCAGGAGGTCCTGTCAAAGTAAAGGGAAGACTGAGGTAACTTCGAGCCGTTCATGGCTGATGGTGCCCACTGAATATTGAAACCTCTCTCAAATGCAGCGTTCTGATTAGACAGGCATATTAGATCAGCAGATTGTCACATCTTGGGGGGTTCAATGTGCAGAGCCAGATAATTTTGTGCAGCTATATTAAACATAAAAATATGTTGTTTTGGCACCAAGATGCAAAAAAAAAAGTTGTTTAGCATGCCTGGCGAGTACAGTCTTTCTCCACAAAACAAATGTTGCTCTCATTTTGTTTTTTGTGTTGATTGAAATGCATTTTCATCTCAGAACCGGTGCAGAAAGTGATATTTAGCAATCTATGGGTCAGGTTTTTTTTATCAAAAGGGGTTTGAAAAGTTGAGGTGTTTCTTTTTTTTTAATAAGGCCAAGATTTACCATTGTATCACTAATGAAGTAAAAACACACTATGATCCGATTTCTACACCAGAAGACAAAATGATGTAGCTGGATAGATTTAAGAGTAAAATGGTGTGAAATTTTGATTCTTTTGAAGTATTGCCCTAGGCACCAGAGTAATTACTTGAGAGAAGAGCAAATATTTCCAGTTACATCGTGGTGGGGGTATTTCGATAGCGTAGTTACCAAAGGCTTTAAAACATCTTTATAGACTGCAATACCTCTACATTGATGTAACATGTCTGTAATATGAACCTGATTGTTTAGCTTGATTTCGTCTCATTATAGTTTATAGCATTTAGACCGTAGAATTAACTTAAAAATAGATGAAAATGCCCTTTTGTCCATCTTAAATTGCTCAGCTAGAAATACTGTCAGTGCAACACCCCCCTGTACGAATGGGAAGAAGACAGCTAGCCTCATTCGCCTGGGCTTTAGTAATGACCCTGCCCCTCTGTTTACAGTGCCCTGACTGTGTGAATGCATTGGCTTTTCCAGGTGGAGTGCCAGAATTACATCCGGGTCTTACTCATCAATGGCAAGAAAGTGCTTACCTGCGGTACGAACGCGTTTATGCCGGTTTGCACGACTCGACAGGTATGGCATGAATTTATGTACCGAGGTGATTTTGTCACGCGGGTCTCTCCCTCCTGTGCACGCAAGACCTGTTAAATTTCAGTAACCAATACAGTGCGAATGCTTGTATCCAGCCGAGTCCCTGTTTGCTGCCCAGGCCCCTCTGAACGAGTCAATAAATCACACGGCTGCACCTCTCCATCACAGACGGAGGGTATTCGGCACACCAGCTTGGGGTCAGCCACGTTCTGTCTCCCTGTCGCTGGAAGATTTCTGGTGCCACTGCTTTAGCTGTTCGTGGTGCAAATGGGGGCGCTCGAGCTTCACGTGTTCAATCAAGCCGAGAGAGACTTCAGTTTCGGAGAAGAAACCTCGACTAGACGTCCCCAGAATAGAAACGCTGGTGTGTCCTTGCTCGTAGTAAAAGCCTTTCCGGGTTTCGGAACGGACGTCTGTACGGTCTTGTGTTTCCCCCCCGCCGGCCAGATCGGGAACTTGAGCCGGGTGCTGGACAAGGTGAACGGCGTGGCGCGCTGCCCCTACGACCCCCAGCACAACTCCACCGCTGTGGTGACGGCGAAGGGGGAGCTGTACGCCGCCACGGTCATCGACTTCTCTGGCAGGGATCCGGTCATCTACCGCAGCCTGGGAAACATGCCCCCACTCCGCACAGCGCAGTACAACTCCAAGTGGCTTAATGGTAAGACCCCTGAACCCTGAACCTTCGGCGGTCACATGGCCTCATGCGCAGAGGCAAAAAAGGCCTTTCGCTCAGATTGTCAAAGTTATTTCGAGTATTGTGTCAGTTGCTTTCTGTCCCCTATTGATCTATTGAATTTAAATTCAAAGAATCATTGCTTTTCATCTTAAAAAGCGCAGGGAATGTCAAGGTTACTATGCTTAGCTCATGGTTTGGAGCATTTTGGATGTCTTTCAGCCTGAAAATGTGTCCATAAAATCTTATGGACAATTGATGCTGTAACTCACTACTGAAACATTTTGAAAAAATACTGCCATATATTTAGCTTCAGAAAGATTCTTGGAAGTTCTGCGTTTGCCTTTCTATTTTGGAAGCTGGTGGGTACAGTGTAACTGTAAGAAAGTGCCAAATAATTTATGTGAAGAATTAAGCCATTTCCAATCTAGAGTCAGAGAAAAATTGCCCTAACTGATTCCAAATGAAACAAAAGAGCCTAAAACTTTAATATTCAGAAAACCTCATCTCAGACAGATGTCTGGGCACTTAAGATGCTCATCAGCGTGATTACAGTACATTATAGCCCCGCACGTATCAATTTTAAAAGGCAGAATACTTGACTCTAGAAAAATAAATTCTTGCCAAACAGGCTTTGAAGTGTTTCCTCTATTGAGGCTTTTTTCATGTTCCTGCTTTATAACGTTTGGAGGAGCTCCTACCTGGAAGGATGTTTTTCACAATTTGTGTCCTTTTTTGGTACAAATATAAATGAATTCACCTATCAGAGGTTATATACCAAAACACAAATGTGTGAATGAATGTATAAAATCTCTCCAACAGCAACAGCCTGACCTCTTCCATCACAGGGACATTTTCTATCTAAATGACAGGTTATTGAGTTGAAATTAGACATCTTCTCATGTCTATACAGTGTATATTTGAAATGCATTTTTCACCATCTTTGTAGCACTTAATAAAAACTGAAGGAACATTGTGACAGGAGCCACCTCAATTAAGGTAGCTCACAAGGCCTGAGCAGCTGAAAAGTAATTTTGGCAAGAAGAAGTACAGTGAAAAAGTCTTTTCTGTCTCGAACTCTCCTCTGGAACACAGAGAACTGCTCTTCAACTACCCAAAAACCAGCTTCCACCATGAAGGCCTTTATATACCTAACACAATTAGTCACTTCCATGTGAAAATGTCTGCTAACCCAATTAACTAATTAATGAATCCCCACTGTGGCTGTTTACAATCATTAGAAGACAGACTGGCCTCTAGTGGCAGGTAGGCTGTAATATCGGCCTGTTCTCAACCCGGCCTCCCACAAACTGTGTGTGGCATCATCCTTGTCTTCCGCATGTGTGATGTCAACATTTCTGAAACACAATGGCAAAGTGCCGCTGTAAATATCGAATAAAGATCGACCTAGGATATCTGTGGGATTACCTGCTCCATGCTTTACTCCAGTGGCATGGGGAAAAAGCCCCACAAATTATGCTGAAGATGAGCGTTTTTAGTCCAGATCCATTCGGTGTACAATGATTTGTGATTCAGACTACACTGCCAGTCTGCATATTGTTCAGAGCACTCCAGTCCATCAGAATCGATTTTTGGCATTGCAAAAAAAAAGGTTGTTATATTGGAAGAAGGTAAGAGAGTGCAGAGTCTCTCTTACACGGGAAAATTGGAAAAGGCTATTTAAATGTGTGCATACTCTTGTGTTTTGCTGTAAACTCTAATGAACCTGTAGGTAGCAGTTGCTCTTGTGTCCCTAATATAAAGATAAAGAAAACTACTTTAATCTTTAAGTTGCCATCTTGTGTCCCACAAACGTAAGCATACTGTATGTCTGTGGGTCGACTGAACCAACTTTCTTTGCAGTAGGAACGCTTCATTTATGACAAGAGGGTATTTTAAGGACTTTGAAGATGTACAGTTCAGTGATAATGAAAATGAAGACTTGTAAGAATCTCACAGTCTATGGTTAATAACAGCTTAACTCAAAGCTACAATGTTGTTCCTCCCCCTGCCTCTCAGCTGGAGTTTTCCTGTCGAATGCTGATGTGTTAACTTGTAAGGAGTGTGGATGATTCACAGGACTGGACAGAGAAATGGGATTTTGCTCATTCAAACGATGTTTTCCTTTTTTTATCTGTGTAGCCGCAGAGCATTCCTGCTGCTTTCCTTGGAAGTCTCTTTATAGTTCTTCATTGGCCTACGACTGCCTGGCATCAGGCAATCAAGTTAGATTAGAAGAAGCCAGGAGATATGAATCATAAATGAATTTTAGAAATAATGACGCTTAGGCCGAAAGAAGAGGTCAGCGTAGAGCTCAGCGTGAGCGAGGAGGTTGGTTTCGTGTGCAGTCGGAAAGCTCTCCTTTGTACCGCGTTAAAAAAACTTCAGTCCTTAATCACAGCTTTACAAATTTAAAAAAGCCTAAATAAAACTCTTACTGTTGTTGATGGTGCTTCGACAGCTTTGAAGGGTAATGCAATAATTTAGAGTCTCGGATGCAAATGACACCATTGATCAGTTCTATTCTGAGAATCCTTAGTAGCATAAGCGAAGATAAACAGATGAGTTATCGGCCTCATTTTTTTTGCATCTAGTAACTTTCATTTCTCAGGTATTGACAACACAGTTGGAAATTTTGTTTCTATATTTTTTTTTTGGTCTGAACGTTCCCTTCCCTTTACATGGCCGACACTTTTTACCTACGTAAGGGAACAAAATGAAGGCGAAGCCTGTTAAAAGTGAAAAAGACATTTTGACGGGGCTGGCACCAGTGCAGGCCTCTGTTCCCGCCGGGGAAGACTGTGTGGCTTGCGGGTTATCGCCGAGGGCTCTGGTTTCCTGCCTGGGTCCGGGTGCGATTGTCCTTCACGGTCCTCCTGCCGCGGAGAGCCTGGTGTTCCTGGGAAGGTGGGAAGGGCTCACTCGCCTCAGCTCTCAGCGTGATCAGGGGGCCGGAAGTTCAACAGGGTGCGCTGGTGCCCACGCGTGCCCGCTCAGGCGTGTTCCTTCCTCCGTGTTTCAGAGCCGAACTTCATTTCCGCCTACGACATCGGGCTGTTCACGTACTTCTTCCTGCGGGAGAACGCGGTGGAGCACGACTGCGGCAAGACGGTGTACTCGCGCGTGGCGCGGGTGTGCAAGAACGACATCGGGGGCCGCTTCCTGCTGGAGGACACCTGGACCACCTTCATGAAGGCCAGGCTGAACTGCTCGCGCTCCGGGGAGATCCCTTTCTACTACAACGAGCTGCAGAGCACCTTCTACCTGCCCGAGCAGGACCTCATCTACGGCATCTTCACCACCAACGTGTAAGCGCTGCTTCCTGTGGTCCCTTGCCCTTCATCTTGCCTCCTAGTTTTGGTTTTTGAGTATTTGAGCATACAGATTTTCCTCATCATCTGGCTCATGCACGGTTTCCATACTGAGCACCGGTCTTCCCACCCACAGGAAGACCCTCGCTCATACGCAGTTAAAACTTTTTAAAAGCAAGCGGCTTTTGCAAAAACACACGACTCTGATTGTGTTCTTGCCTGCATCAGAAATCCCCCACCACCTGCACCATCTCTCTCCAGGCAGCTGGTCATTGCATGGCGGGTTTTTTCACATGAGCTCGCGCAGGATGCTCTTGACTGATGATTAGATATTATTGCTTTCATATGTCGAATGATCCATTCACATTATGGTACTGTATGTGTAACGTGTAAGGGAGAAATCTGCAGGTTATGTGAGTCGACGAGGAGAGTAACGTGGATCGTGGGAACCTGACCCCCTGTTTCCCATGTCCTCAAGTATTCAACAACTGTGGTTGTTTCAGCTATGGTGGTTTTCAGTACTGTAACCCCCACTGATGAGGGAAACCTGTGCTCTCTCTGGCAAAGCATCAGTGCTCTGCTCTCTCACTGTCCACTGTGTAGTGGGCCAGCAGAGATTTAGGAAGTTTTGCTGCCTTTCCTAGTATTTCCTTCGGATTATTGTAAATGGCCCCCTTTCTTTCTTTGTCTTCATGCCTGTCATAATGTGTGAATGTGGCTTTCTTTCTGTAAAGCGGTCGTTTTGTCTAGAAAATCACTGGGTGTTCTTAGGGCTTCATGTAATGCAAGAACAAATATAGTTGAAAATATTACAGTACTATTGATCTTGATTGAGATCAGCGAAATCGTGTTCCCACGTAAGTGTCCCTAAGTTATTGCTCATGGAATTTCCCTTACAGATTTAAGCTATTTTCAAAATAATTATCCACTTGTCAGATGAAGAAATAACTCCGGGCCATATTCAGTATTTTTCAGGTAGAAACCCTGCACTTTATTGATTGCTAACGTGTAATCCGTGAAACGCTAAGAAAAACCTATAAAAAGATCTCAAATCTTCACATATTCAGACATCAAATGGATCAGTAGTTACATGTACACCTAGCGTTCGCCAGCATCTTGCCGGAAATAACACTCACCCGGGTGGTCTCCCTCTATCTTGCAGTGTGTGATTTGATAAAATAATAATTGCCTAACTAGAGGGGAAGGGCATTATTTGGCATGTCCTTTACCACCTGAGAAGTGCAGTGCGTTACTCTAATTGTAACTACAGTATTTCCGACGCTATGAAATTGACCTTTGCCTTTCACATTCCCTGGAGATTTGTTTCAGGATACCATGGAGAGCGTGCTTGCAGAAAGACTTGGCAGCACAGTCAGTTATTTGTGACGGTGCTGAGGTTCAAGTATCTAAACAGGGCAGGTCCTTTTAATTAACTGCATTTCTTATTAGCTTCCCCCTGGTAAGTAAGACTGCTGGTCAGACCCGAGGGGATACAGCGTTACCGCACTCTCACAGTTGGATTTTAAAATAGAATACGAGACAACGTTTTGTTCTGTTCCCTGGCTTCCAGTGGGGCCGTTTAATTTCTTTGCTGGTAAATCTGGTCGTGGTGCGATTCGGGGAGCCTGGCAGCTGAGGAGACTGGACTCCTGCCTGGGCAGGTGTGCACTGTGCCAGGAGCAGTTGAGGAACCGCGGACTGGTTTTGGGGAGCCTGGCACCCCCCAAAAGGTCTCCATCGTGTGCCATGGGTGTCTGAGAAATCCTTTCAGTTCATTGATATATCCCTCCCGCTTCAGTATTTGGTGCAAACAGAATATTCACCGACGCTGAAACACTCAAATTATTATTTTTTATTTCTTTAATTCTTCGGATGCCAAAACTTTGTTTACACCACACCATATGCCTTGTACTGAGGAAAGGTCTCCATTGGTATTTCCTTAGAAGCAAATGTCAAGATCTTCTGTCAGAGGGCACATTTAACTTAACATTTAAAGAGACAGGCTGCACCCATTCCTTAGCTAACCACTGAATCCATAGGACCAAGCTGGCAAAGAAAGAGCTGTGGAAATTATCACATTGAAAATAGGTTCTCCTTTCCTCCAAGCACTCTGCACACTTCTCATACAGGAGAACAAAGCCACGGCCTTCAATCAGTGACATTTGCTTAGTAAGTTGCTGCACTGCGGGGCAAAAGATTGCTTTCTTATATGGGGGGCAATAATTGCTTTGTCATTGGTGCTGGCAGTATTTATATATGCGATGCAGTGCCCTTTCTAGGGCAAATTCAAATCAACTTGTTTTATAGTCACTGGGTCCCTGGCGCCCAGGCCGTGGGCTCAGGTTTTAGTCCTGCCCCACTTATACCATTTATTCAGAGAAAGCAGTAGGACTGTTGGGGTCGAGGAGAGGCGCATGCTGTTATGTTTGTCAGCAGAGTAGGTGATGTATCTGACTGTAAGATAAGAGAAAATGCTTTGTAGTTCTAGGCTCTGGTTTTGTTTCTGAAAGTGTTTCCATATTTGCAGCTGCTCTTTAATAAAAGATGTGAACAGGATAGCTAAAAGGGTCTTGTACCACCACTAGAATTATAAGCGAGGGGTAGATTTCAAAGAGCCTCTCATACAAAGCCATCTTATTCAAGACCTGAGAGGCTTCGTTTCCTCCCCGTGTTCAGAGCTTTTGTAGGAATATTACTTGCAGACACAAAGGTGGAGAGAGCATTGTTTTAAGGAAATCTATCAGTAGCAGTCCCTGCTGCCCTCAGTCAAAAAATTAAGAGAATTCTCAAATGTAAGCTGCATAAAATGTTACTGTTTCAGATTTTGTCCATTTTAAGATCTTGAAAATGAGAAGATAAAAGAAAAAACATCTGAATGAATCTCTAAAATTTCAGTTTGCTTCAGGAAAAGCTCCTTTGTTTCAGGTCTATGCAGACTGGATACAGACATCTTTCGGAAAGTCCAGTATTAAAGGCTTGTACAGTAATACTCAATACACGTGAGCAAACACAAGAACTGGCAGTCGAATTGCCCGATTTCTAACCTTTGAGCTCAGAAGTCAAATGGGCATGATCTGCCTTGGTCTCACAGCGTGTCTGGCTGTGCCACAGTTTGAGCACAAACCCATCTGCCTTGGTGGCAGCGAGAGGTTTTCATTACACTGGTTCAGCTCATGCTGAGCATGTCTTTCTTAGGCAAAGCTTTTACAGCCAGGCCAAATGCTTGATGGAGTGTTATCCAAGGCTGGCAGTGGCTGAGACTGAGCTCTGTGCCAAGCCTTCAGCTAAACATGGAGAGCTGAAAACACAAATATATGTAAGTAATTTGTAACTTTTGCAGTTGTGAAGATTATGTAACTCAATGCTATCTGGGTTCTGTGGGATTTGCTGGCATTTAAATCTACGAAGTGGTTCTGGGACTGAACCTTACTGTGGTTCGTGAACGTTGGAGGCCTCAGTGCTCTCTTAGAGTGGCGAAGGTCTGGCTGAAGTGACATCACTTCCTGAAAGCTGTCAGCTGGGTATTGGCGTTTGCCTGTCGTCTCCTTTTCCTCTCTCCTCTCCCTCCCTCCCTCTCGATGTGCGGAGTTCAATCACTTGGAGCTGCAATTAGGTTATTCTCATTAATCCAGCAGGCAAGAGGCCAGTGCCACTTTCGAGCTGTAAAATGCAACCCAATTCCAGACATGCTCATTTACATTTCATCAATTAACAGTTTTTAATGTCGAGAATTATATGGTACTTTCACATTAAAAATGCAGAATAGAATGCATTTCTAAGGTCCAAGAAAATGAAGAGAGGTTTGTGCTTTTAATTTGTAGTCATTTGTTTTGTAAAAAAATATTTTTGGCAAGCTTTAGCTTCAGCTGTAAACCATGCTGACTTTTGGAGACATGGGTATTTTCTCTGCAGTGGCTATCAGGAGTTTGGTGTGTGCCACTGATGCCGAGAGAACCATTCTCAGTATAGTTGTTAAAACTCTGGGCTCTGACAGATCCCTGTAGCAGGTACTGTTCATATAGGATTTAGTTTCTTACTTTTACTTTCAGATTCGTGAGCACATGCTGTATGAGCCCCGCCAGGTGAACTGTCCTCCTTCAAGTGAGACCCTGGGCCCGGTTTCTGAATAGCAGACTCCACTGTGTGGATGTGTGCCACTGAGATAGCTCCAGACCAGGATACAGTACTGTAGGAGCGGGATTTATTTTTCCAGAGCTGAGATAAGCCGCGCAGCCCGAGGTTCATTTATTTATATCTCTCTGCCAGGCAGGGACGGAGTTCTGCGACTGCTTTCCGGCATGGTGATTTCTCTCTCTTTTTCTTTTCTAATGGGCAGGAACAGCATTGCCGCGTCAGCTGTTTGTGCTTTCAACCTCAGTGCCGTTACCCAGGCTTTTAATGGGCCGTTTCGGTACCAGGAGAACCCTCGGTCAACGTGGCTGTCTGCGCCAAACCCCATTCCCAACTTTCAGGTAGGATCAGTGGGAAGAGCTCACTTCCAGAAACCATTCCGTAGGTTGGGTTTCACTCTTGAGCAGTGTGCACAGTCGTTCTTTTGTGCTTTGATGCTGGTGGGCTCCTACTTAAGTCTAAGCCCCGCTTGGCCCCCATGAACGAATAGTGATCTACAATGCATGTTACTCTGCAAAAAATCTTTAATGGATTAACATAGCCTCTGTAGAAACAATTGACATTCTTTCTCCGTAATGTTGAGTTTCTGTTGGCAGTCCCGATTGCGGCCAGTCAGCAGGCAGCAGTCTTCCTTCAGTATCACCTGAACAAATACGATTGGAAAAACCTGTTCAGACGGAGGTGGATGCCGTTCTCAATCGCATAATGCTGCATTGAAGTCTAGCCTGTGTTTTGGGTTTTAAAGGTTGACCGTGACCCGCTTTTTAACGGGAGAGAGCTGCTGTCCCTGGTGGCAAGGCTTAGTCTGGTGTGAAGCGGTCATTTAACCATCTTCTCCTAGCGACTCAGAAGTTCATCTGCTTTCTGTGGGCCTTTTTATGTATTTTTCCAGGTCACCGGCAGACTCATTTAGGTCATTAATATTTTTTTTTCCCCAATATAACCTAGATAATGAATGAATGTGAAACTGTCGACCATTCTCCTCCTGCTGGGCGAGACGCAGTCCAGCAGGTTTTGTAGATCGCCATTAAATTCCTGAAAGTAATGGAGAAATTCCATTGCGATAAATTAAAAAGGTGACTTTGTTAGATTTAAGTCATTTTACATTTTAGGTAATTTAGAGATCTGGGGCTACTATCTAAGGTCTCCTACGCTCTCGGAGACCAGAGTTCCCTTAACTGGGGAGATGACTTACTTGAGTCATCCGTAGCTCACCAGTGTTGCCAGTCTTTAAAAACAGGTGACCCGTTCCTCAGGACGAGGTCTGGAGACCCCTGTACTTCATCGCGGTTCTCCTGGTCTCTAGCGGTGCTCTTGTCTGCTTCTCCTCCACCCCCCCAGTGTGGTACAGTAAACGACTACAGCCCCAACGAGAACCTCACGGAGCGCAGCCTGCAGGACGCCCAGCGCCTGTTCCTGATGAACGACGTGGTGCAGCCCATTTCAGTGGACCCCCTGGTCATGCAAGACAACGTGCGCTTCTCCAAGCTGGTGGTGGACATCGTGCAGGGCAGGGACACCCTGTACCACGTCATGTACATCGGAACGGGTAAGCAAAGTCAGAACTCGCCTCTGACGTTTGAGGTTTGAACCCAAGAGCTAGATCACAGCTTTCGGTTTTCTCCACCCCCCCACCGTCAGAATACGGCACCATCCGGAAGGCCCTCTCCACCACCAACAAGAGCTTACGGGGATGTTACCTGGAGGAGATACAGCTCCTCCCCCCAGGCACACGGGAGCCAATCCTGGGCCTTCAAATCCTCCACAGTGATAGGTCGCTTTTTGTGGGCCTCAACAACAGAGTGCTGAAGATCCCGTTGGAGAGATGCTCGACCTACAAAACAGAAAAGTGAGTAGATGCTGAGGGAGCTTTTACTGTACACATTCTCGTCTTCATGCCTGTCAAATATACTGTGAAACGTTGTTTATTTCTGTCATTTATTGGGGATGTTTAACGGCCCGTTATCTAATGCTGACAAAATAAGGACTAGGAAATGTGTTAACCAGCTACTGCGATGACAGTGCATTTATTCATTTAAGACATAATGCCAGCAATCTGAGTCCCTGAAGGTTGAGGTGAATTTAGGAAGGGCAGTGGTTGGATGCCTTATCTGTCCCCTCCGAGCAGTGCTCTCTCTGCAGGGTGCCCTCCTTTGCTGAGTCAGGTCTCTTTTCTCCCATGGGGAATCTGTGGTGTGCGGATCTCGGAATGCTAAACAGGATCCTGAAACGATTGAAAGTCAAGCTAGTGAGACGTACAGAGGTTACGCTGTGTTCAAAGCACAGAGAAGCAGATTGTGTTGCTTTGGGTTCAAGGGTGTAGAAAGGACTTTTTTTTCCCTGCATCGCTTCAGGCTGCTGACAGGAGAATGTTTTATGCAATAAAAATCAGTTAGTATGGAACTGCCAGACACTGTCATTTTAAAAAGCTGAATTATACTCCACATCAACATAAATTGCTTATAACTGCAACAGATTTAATAAGATCTGACAGAGACAACAACAATAAGACACAGTTAATCTTTTTTGAGTAGCTGCTCTAACGTTTTATTGAACAGACGTGATGTAGGTAAATTCATTGTGCTGATTAACAATCGTCACAACAGGGTTGATCAATAGAGGAGGACTGTGAAAGTCGCAGGCTAGTAAGGTATGTTGCCACTGCTGGAAGCTGCTGTGTTTGCTTTGCACCAGGTTGTAGATGCTGTCCTGCCCTCTCATACAGCCGGGACAAGCACGTGCCTGTTCACTGGTCTCTGAGCCCTAGATGCCACATGTCATCCCAGCTCATCGCTGGCGAGCAGGGCGTCGACAGCAAAGCTATTACCTTCTCTTCTCACAAGAAAGACGCTGTTACAAGAGCAGCACCAGAACAGTTTGAGCCTGCAGGCGGGCGGCACCGTACAGTCAGCTTGCCTTCAGTCAGCCCGGACAAGCGGAGTCCCGGAGTGCCCAGACAGAATGGCATCTGCGTGGCCTCCCCGTGCAGTCGATAAAGCCTTAATGTAGATGCATATCGGGCCGTGTTTTGTGACCTGGATAACAAGAAGCTGAGCTTAATCCGTTAGGAAAACGTACAGTGAGGGCTCTGTGGGACGAGCTAAGAGAACTGAAGTGGCAGGGACGTGTCCAGAATGTGGCTCTGACTCATGGTCATGGGGGGTTGGGGGGGGCAGTGGAGGTGTGCACCGCTGCCGTTGCGTGATTGATTTCATTTTGGGGGCGTCACTTTGGCTGTCCTAATGGAAAGTGGGGTGCCCTTGTGTTTGGCGTTCTGATTTTTGACTTATCAATCCTTTCCTCATGTAATGTGGGAATATAATTCCTTTCTAGGTGTTCAGAACAAGAATGCCTGTGTTTTCCAAGCACATAACGTTAGAGTTTTTGATGCCTTAAAGGCGCGAGTGGTGAAAAATGGTAGAAAACTTGGGGCACCCATCTATTAATTTACAAACAGCTAGTTGACACATTTCTGTGATGAAGCCTGTATTTTCATTCACGTCTTAAAGTAAGAAATGGATTTTGTAGCCAAACAGAAGATGCCATCATGGTGTGCCCTCCCGCCACTGATCCTCAGTGCACCTCCATTCCTCGAATTTATACACACTTGTCTTCTCTATCTTGTTGACTACTGGTCTAGTGCAAATAGGGCAGTTATTATAAATGAGCAATAATGTTGTTGCTTTGATGATTGCTCCATTAAGGTAAAAATACCCAACACTGATTTTTTAGATCTCTGGGTTTTACGAACAGTCATGGGGGATTTTGTTTTAGGTTTTCGAACTTTGAACATTCAGACAGTACTCGAGGATTGACTTGCCTTTGTGATTGGGGGATGGGAGGCATATGAATTGTTCTCAAACACCTGATTCTCCTCTCAGACATTGTTATACTTTGCATTTTCTTGCATTTACTATTCAGAGACTGGGCATAAGGCATACAAAACAATTGAAAAGAGCTGACAGATCCTGACTGGATTACTCAAAGCTGTTTAGGGAATCTGTTGCACTCCGATAAGTAATAATCTGATAATGTGTTTTTATGGAGTACAGTAAGCATCCAAACAGGAAAATGGAAGTATCCATGTTCTCATCATCTGTTGCCTCCAGCTCACCCTAAGTAGACTCTTGCTGTATTAATGCCGAATTGTTTGACCAGACAGCAAAGGCTTTCCTTGGGTGGTTAAAATGGAAAAGGAAACGCAACATGCAGGTTGTGGGTTGTATTTATAGAATGATAGTGGCAGTTTCCAGAGCTACAAAGTGCACCACCGGCCCTCCCTCAGTTTACCCCCGTGACCCCAGGAGTGGAAGAAGGTGCTGTTTCCCACCCCGGGCTGAGCATGAGGACAGAATGACAACTTGATCTCGCGGTGGTGAATTTGCAGCTGACGTGGAGCTTGAGCTCTCTTACCCTCTCCGTCGAGAAGATAAGGAATTTGCATCTCGTCCTTCCACAGGCTACACTCCAACATAGAATCCTGATGGCGTCGAAGGAAACAAAGCTATGAATATGCAGTATTGTAATGCTACACTGCAGTGTTCACCCTGAGCAAGCAGCAGGTACAGTAGCAAGCCAGAAAGGAAATGCAGTAAATGTATTTTCAGAAAAATTGCAGGTTCACAGAAATCTGTGGTTATAAAGGAAACATTTCAGTTTTTAGTTTGAGACACTCCTTTATCATATACCGTAAATATTCAAAGCAAACAGGTATCATTTCTTGGTTTCCCCATAGGATTGCTTTATTTTCAGCAGAACTATTTCAGGGCAGCATGGAGATTATAGTACTTTCAATGTTGTGCTCAGCATAATCGATCAATATTAGGCAGTTCTGTAATCATCCAAACTCTGGAGAGTGGCAGCTTTTTCTGAAAGTCGTCAATGATTACAGTAGGCCCACATCACTCTGAACCAGTTCTGAGATGCGGACACCTTTGTATACACTTTCACTACTTTGTGTTTCCAATTAGAGGTGGTAAGTGTTTCAGCCAATAGGGACTGCAGTACCCAGCTGTGCCTAATTATGAATTACGTAACTCCCGTGTTCGTTGGCCTATCCTGTTTCTCTGTTAAACACTGCCTTGCTCCTGAGCAGATGGCCATTCCTGAGAAGAGCAGCCTCAGACACTCACTAAGGGATTGAGCAGGTTTCTGTAACAGTGAGTTCACCCTCAAGCCTAATTCTACATTCTGGTTTCACCTGCAGGAAAAGCATGATTTCCATTTTGGGGACTTTGGCTCTTCATTCAGGATGTTTAAGTTTCTGAATAGAGATAATGTACTTGCCCTTAATTTGCCCAGGCTGTTTTAAAACTTTGTCTGGCATCATTGAACATCATCGAACCATAAGAGAACATTTCTAATGCATCTGTCACAATCTCTTGCTCTTTGTATGTGCATATATACGTGTGTGTGTGTGTGTGTGTTCAAGAATCGTTTTTCTTTACATACCATGTACATGTCAAGGCTTTGTTTCATGACTTTTTTCGACACCAACAAAAGTCGCTTTAATTAATTGAGATATTGCCAAGTACGATATTGCAAAGCTTTTTCCATTTGATTGTATTCTAAAAATACCCCTCTTGTTCCAGTTGTGGCTTTGCTCTGGATATAAATGAAGTCAACACTCCTTATATGAATGGTGGTGGCTATGGATGGTCAGAGAAGTGTGCTACAAAGAGGCCTTTTGAATGCAGTTTTTTTTCCTCAATGCTAATCTGTATGCACTTTTATGTTTCAATAGAAGTACAGATACATCAGGGAGCTAAAAACAGTTTTATACAGTATTCTATGCAGTTATTTCATTTTCATTGGAAACACTTTCTGACTTCAGCCACAGAATTTTAAATGATTTGGAAGATTTGTAGTAACAGCCACGTCTACATATAGTGAGGGAAACTAGCAGTGCTTAAGAAACTGTGTGGCACTAGTGTATAACTACAGTAGTATCTACTCTGAAATTATCCAGATAAAAAATAATCAGAATCATATTGTTGCACCTGTCCTAGTTTTGCTGCTTTCCTTGAATAATAACCACCAGAGGGTAGCAAAGATTGTTGACACATTTTCGCTTATAATAATCAATATCACACTACTAATAAACATATAGGTAATACCTGAGTGCATTTGTATAGCACTGATTATTCCTAAGGACCCTCAAGTGCTTTACATACTGTACATGATGGGAATCACTTCACCCAGCACCTACCTGCTACATGGAAGCCAATGATCCAGCAGTCCCAATGCACAATGGATCTGAGAGAAATTATTAAAATAGTTTTGGAGATTTTTTTCTTAAAAATGGAGCTCAGGCCACCATCTTGGTTAATGGAGCAATGTCATTGTTATTGTCGCTTATCAGTTTGCTTGTGTGTGGGGAAGATGAGCGGTCAGTTTTGAAGTTGGTGAATAGACCGTGTTTGATCAAGAGCAGTTTAACGCTCAGAATGCAGAGCTGCTGGCATTGTCGATACTGGTTTACGCCACTAGAGGGCAGCTTAGTGGCACTCCAGAGACGGAGAAAAAGGTAAATGTTTCCATATTTGAACAACGCTATGAGAGGAATCAACCCTACAGCTGACTGAAATTGGATTCCTCTATTAACAGTTTCAACGAGAGGCAAAGGGCAGTGGTGGATGACTGGTAATGCCTCATGGAAAGACTTTCACGAAGAAGGTTTGGACTCACAGGGAGATTGCATTGTTTGGGAAAGGTTAAGTCTTGTGCTGTATATCAGGGGTGACAATCTTGCTTGTTTGAGAAATATCGATCGGCCAAACAGGATCAGAAGAATAGGTTTTAAGTTGGAGGAGAAATGGGGAGGCCAGTTTATGGACCACGTTAGGTTTG